AATCCCTTTCCAGAATGCATCCACCTTTTCTTCGACGAGTCGTTCCATCTCAGGGTCAGACACACCGGGCTAGAAGGAAAGGGGGTCAGATTGTGAGGATTTGGCAGCGCACAGGGCATTTTAACCATAGTAACACCCAGAACCTCTCTCATCTTGGGCTTCACTGTTCCAAAAAGCCTGTGAAAAAGTATTGCGTCGAGTATTGCGCGGAGAACATCTCGACTGGTATGTCGGTCTAGAATCTGTGAAGAATGAGCTAAATTCAACTATGAAGTGCGATAAAAAACCGTACCAAGTCAATGGTGATGGTGGGGTATGTAATCGTGTTCATTGTGTTTAGCGCCCAATCCGAGATAAGATAATCAACGGTCAAAGCCGTATATATTCAACGCCGTACCTCCAGATCAACATCTGGACTAGTGATCGAAAGACTAATAGCCTTACCGACACACTTCGATGGTAATTATCTTTGAGCAGTTAGATCCTAATTATGAGTGAGTATATTCGAGTTACATAAAATAACAGTGGATCAAAAATAACAATCCAAATGTCCCCAGTCCGACACGAGCATAGCAAAAAGCAAATCAAAGAATAACAAAATCTTAATCGGCATGCAATCAATCAAGGATTCTAACCCACCAACCAATCCACCACAACACAGTCCCCACCTGCATAACCAATACCGCTAGTTCACCCGATACTGCCATCCATTGGATCAAAATTCCCATCCAAAACAACGGCAATGCAGCCCACCTCACCCCACCATATGGTATCCACTGCAGCTTATAATTCACGGAGCACGCCAACGCAGCTCGCGCCTGGAGTATCATTACCATTACCGTCAACAAGAACAACGCTAAAAGCCCGACCCAGTGTCGAAATGAACGTTGGGGAAGACGAGTTATCGGGTATCGTTTGGCTTCTCCGGTGAATTCGTTACGGTACAGAGGGATGATGAGGAAGACTTGGACATCATCACCAATGGTTTTACCGTAGGTACGCCAGAAAGGTGTGACAGTGTCAAGGATAAATGTGAGCGCATCCATGCCAATGTCCCACAAGTGTTGGTATTGGTCTTTGTAGCTCTCCTCTAGACCGACGATCTGGGATAACTAGGAAGAAGCTGTGATCAGAAAGTATATTGGGAATAGAGAGCAATAGACGTACCTCGGGGTAGACAACCGAGGTATGAGCAAGAGTAGTATTATATTCCGCCTTGACGCCCGCGTGAATAACCTGCGTTTTCTTCAAAACCTCCGATACCTCCTTCTCCTTGTTCACGATGGCCAGCCTATTTTCCTCCAGTCCTCTCAAACTACGCATCAGCGAGTCGATTGGGTCTTTCAGGATGTCTTTTGTCACAGGGAAACCGTCCCTACCATCACCGCGACCACTGAAACCACTCGCGTTGCTCTCCAAAAACTCTCGGAACACTGCTCTTTGCCTCATCAATCGATTATAAATATCATCTACCGCTCTATATGTCTTCAACCTCTTCGTCGAGCTCGTCACATTCGCAGGGTCGTGGCTGAATGCTTCAAGCAAATCCTGCGGTAAGTAACCTGTATACTCAGGATCTGGACTTCGAGGTGAATTTATATTTGCAAGTGTGTTCGAAACAAAACTAGATTGGCACATTTCGTATTCACGGACGTGCTGCGCGATGTGGTTTAGCACGGAGCGGATGCGGGTGTTCGAATCTTTGCATTGAGCGAGGAGTCTGAGGGACTGTGTATCAGCGTGATTTAGTATGAAGAGACAATGAGACGTACTGCGACTTTAAATCATATTCTAGGTCTGCTCTCGCTTCGTCAGCTTCCTGCCTCCTTTTTCGCTCCAAAACAAGCGCATTCCGAGCTTCAGAAGGTAGCGAATTTAGACGCAGACTTCGGTTGATGATAACTCGTCGGGTCTGAGTGGTATTTTGGGCATCGTTTGAAGACGCCGCAGGAATCGGTGTAGGGTCAGGTTCTACACCTGGTTTGGCCGTGTTAAGGTCACTTCCGTCCACATGAATATACAAATCATTTCCTCCCTTGATAGGAGACACGACGCCAACACTAGTGGTACTCCTTGGACTGGTGAATGGCTCTTGGGAGTGATTTCTTCCTAACCAGCTTGATCGCTTACTCGGCTTCTCGCCCTTGTCTTTATCAGCGTCAGATTGAGCGGCGGAAGATCCCTCGTCACTCTCGTTACCCCGTCTGCGTCGTACTAACCCTTCTTTTAAATGAAGCCTACTCTTACTGCTAGCAGGCGAAGCAGCACCGAGGACAGCAGGGCGATCTCGTAAGTTTTGTTTTGATTCACGCTCCTTGTCCCCAGTGCTGAATAGACTGCTGAACGTCGACTCTAGGCTTCTCCTGGATTCATTGGAAGGACGTATTGGTGGTGGGGGCTCGAGAAAAGGTGACTGTGACCTTGACTCGAGCAGAGGTTCAAACGACACCCGACCTGAATCTGAGATATGTTTTGAGAGTGAAGTCGAGAAAGAATGCTGGGAAAATCTCGAGGAAGGTGGACCGCGGGTAGGTGAATGAGAGAAGGTGGGTGACGTTTCTGGCACCAGTGGGGGACCGAACATGGAGGGAAATGAACTCGAATCGGGTTCAGAATCGTGGACAAAGTCGGAAGGGTGTTCTGGTATAGAACGCATAGCATGGTGCCGATTTCTGGCGTTCAGCGCATGCACGTATTCTTGCATGATCAGCGCCGACAGATGCCAAGGCATGCGCACAGAGCCTTCTACTAATCCAGTTCCAGTATCGCTGTCAGGCGCTTGCCGACGTGTCTGCCTATGAAGATGCCTAAGCCACGGGAAAGGTTCTGCTTTCTCCAACGCAGACCGAATAAGGAACTCCTGTTCACCATACCAACGGGATACTTTGAGAAGATTGAATCGATCTGAGCCAGAGGAAATGAGGTTGTAACGACGGCCTAATTGGTCGGATGTGATAGCAACTTTCTTGAGTGTTAGTTGGGAGGAAATGGTTTTGATTCTATTTAATTTAGCTAGTGATGCGGTCGATGAGTGTGAAGGATACGAATGCTGGGATCCATACCTGCATGAAGTCCTTCCTGCCTCTTCAGATCATCGGCACTAAGGATCTCCTTTTCCTTCCCTTTCCTAGACTTTGAGACGTTAAGTGTCCACTTTCTTTCGCTTTTTTCTTCGTCGGAGAAATGCCCTGACCAATCTAACGTATGGCCATTATCTACCGAAAATGGAACCGGATGTAGGTCAACTCTAAGCTTAGCAGGCCCAACAGAAGGACCAAAGTCAATGTCAGCCGAGGGCGCGGTAGCGCTAACTCCAGGACTGGCCTTGGACCTCGCTGTGGACTCGGGACTTGAGGAGTTAACGGTAATGGGGAATGATCTTGGAGATTTTGGAGGAGACGTCGGCGGAGAAGGGTGATTGAGCTGACCAGACATGGCGCGCACTTCACGTCTATACTTTAGCTTTAAAGCGCGTTGAACTTCTTGGAGAATTCTCGGATCTGGAATAAAGATGTAGCATATTTTCGATTCTTGTGCGTATATACTTGCCTTCATGAGCTACTAGACAGTCAGATACATTCGTCAAAGCAGCAGGAAAAGCAGTTACCTAAATCATACTCATCTGACAGAGTGCCAAGACCCCATCCTGCCGGCGAGTCCGAGTCCTTGCTGTCAGTCGAATGCAAGGATGCTACGCGCTGCGTAGAAGCACCCATGCTCACTGTCGGGACCCTCTTCCGATTCGCATTCACATTTCCTGCATCCACCGAAAGTACTCTCCGTCTGGAATTGCTTCCTTCCTTCAAAGCTAATCCTCTTGTATCTGTGATGGACTTAGAGTTTGGCTTGTGTCCATAGCCAAGATTCCTTTGGGGTTGAAGCTGAGAAGACTCGACGGAATTCGGAAAGTGGAGTCGAGTATGGCTAGAACCACGATGATGATGTGTAGAGTTAAGGTTACTCGGCCCAGCCTCAGCCTCTTCTGAGGACTCTGGTTGCATCTGGGCTGGGTATTGGAGCAACAAGAAGAAAAGTGAAGGAAAGTATTAAGTAAGTAAAGGTACGATGCATGTAGGATGAACTCGGTTTAGGCGCTCAAGCGCTCGTCCTAGTCACTCCGAGCGCATTGCGCATTGTCATCAGGATCATACAGGACCCCGGAAAATACACCTTAAGGCCTTTCGCAAAAAAAATAATTTTGAGCCAAAATGTCCGAGCCGAAATCGCAAAAATTTCGTCCGCTGGACCCAAAAATGTCCGAACTCCGAGTGGCCTCCAGTTTTCCCTGTTAGTCAATGGGGTACCCGAAAATTCACTGGGACCCCCCCCCGCGATATGAAACCGCGCAAATATCTGAAGACTCGGTATATTTAGATAAGTTTTCCATTCTTCCCTGCAGTTTTCGCAATAACTACATACAACATGTTCAGTACTGGTTAAGTAAATGAATCGGTGGCTGCACCTTTGCCAGTGAATAGTTCCCCCATCAACGCAAACCAAATTGTAGTTATCCACTTAGGGCAGGAGACTCTTGCATTGACCACACTTGCCAAGAGTGGCGCCTTTGTTAACTCAGGCCATTGAGCTCATCAGTGACTAGCATCTCAAGTAGATCATATTAGGCATCGAGAATCAAGATGCTAGTATACCAGATTATCAGAGTACTTCCTATTCTGCCAAGTATTCTGCCCAATCCAGTAGTTACGGTAGGTTACAGTGCGTGTTTCAGCCTCTATCTGCAGCTACTGTGCTCTCTTAGTTGCCCTGCGCGCAACCTGCGCGCGACATCGAGCCTTGGCCACCCTCAAAAAAAAAAAGAAAACATAAATTTCTACCAGGAATTTGTCCGAAAGTCGAGAGGCCTTTGGCTCAAAATCGTCGAAAATGTCCGAAAGTCGAGAGGCCTTTTTCAAAAAAATTTCAAAATTTGTCCGAACCACCGAAAGGCCTTGAGGTCTATTTTCCGGGGTCCTGATCATACCCAGTCATGTCGTTGTATTGCCCGCCTAGCTCAATCGGATAGAGCGTCAGACTCTTACGAGACTGTTATGTATAAGTGGGTAATCTGAAGGCTGCGAGTTCGACCCTCGCGGTGGGCTATTGTTATTTTTGTTTTTCCAGCCAGTGGCCACTGTATCACATCCAACTCGTACTGGTCCTTCCCACTCTAGGTCTTCCGAGTCATGGAAGCTCCGGAGAAGCCAGAATATTAGGTCTAAATTCAATTTGAACAGTGCAAGGCAAGTCGCATACTGTCGATTGGGTCTAAAGGGATTCTCCCTCTAGATTCTTCCAGTTCTCTAAGAATCTCAAACCTCTTTTCAAGACTCAATCCTATCATAAAAACATCATAAGCACCAACGTCACTCTGGACGAATAGAAGAAATCTGCTGCGTGCATCTGCATTATCAATATTCAAGCTTATAGCTACTACAATTAGAATACAGGTCTGTCCATTTAAAGCGTGATCTTCGCCACCTGTGCTATATATCACGCAGAAGATGGAAATGCAACAAAAATTCAAATTTTCGCGCTTCCAATCGGAATAGCAGTCAAGAAATGTAAGTAGGTAACACTTCATGCACGGATCTCAGCAAGGTCCTTTTCCCCAGGACAGCATACTTTTCGATTAGAGTGTTGAATGGAAAATACTCAGTCCCCATTTCGTTGTGAGGTGGAGAAGGATTGACGATGTTATCGGATTTCAGCTGCTCGACCTACTCAGTACGTCAGTAATTAGAATGGTCAAATTCGGTGAGACGGCCCAAACATACCTGCGCCCTCGTAACCGTAAACAAATTCACCGGAAGCTGCTCCATCACTGCGCCCTGTAGCTTGCCCAGAGAGAAAGGTAAGGAAACGATCGGCCGTCTCCGACCATTGTACTTTAAGACCATTTGCATAATTTCCTTGTACGTCAAAATGTCTGGACCTCCACATTCAATGATCTTTCCGCCCACCATTGCATTTATTGCTGGGTCGTTTCGGGCAATAATCTCGACAGCACGAGCGATGTCGCCGACGTAAACAGGCTGAAAGCGGGAGGTTCCTCCCCCGAATACTGGGAGAAACGGAAGAAATTTTGATAGTCGAGAGAAGCGCTGGAACGGGTCATTATCAGCCATTGAGAGTAAATAGATCGATTACATTGAAGAAATCATCCTCTGGACCGAAAACAATGCTTGGTCGTAATATGACTACGTCTTTCTCTGTGCTACCTTTAAACACCTCCCTCACTGCGTCCTCGCCCAATGCCTTGGTTCTATTATACGCAATTCCGCTCGTCTTATCAGCCCCAATGGCACTTACATGCACGAGCTTAGCTCCAGCGTTCTTGGCTGCTTTCGCGACGTTCTCAGCACCTTTCCATTGAATACGATCGAAATCTTTCTCAGATCCATGCATAATTCCAACGAGAGAAATAACGAGAGAAGCCCCGGAGAGGACTTCAGGAAGACTGGACTCATTTGTAATGTCAATTGAAGCGGAGGGAAGTAGGCCTTTGAGTTCTGTCTTCAAAGGAGAGGGATGTCTGGAAGCCAACTGGACCTGATGTGTTCGTGAACCGGCGAAAGCCGGCTGTGTTAGAGCAAGAGATATATGTTTACCTGGAGACATGATGAGGATTATCGGAGAGGAGAAAACTCAACTGACCGAGGAAACCTGCACCACAGACGACTACCTTCGAACTCATGGTAGTTTACTTAAGTACTTCGAAGGTGACATCATAATAAGTAAGACTTTGCTTTGACTTTCCATTTACGAGCATGAGTTTATGTAAGACGAGCACCAGCGCCTATTCCTCATGGCGTGTTTACCTATCGAATTGGTAGAAGCCATCCTCAGCCAGCTAGCGGACTCAAAGCTGGACTTGTCTACATGCTCTCTCGTCTGTAAACAATGGTTTCTCAAAAGTCGCGCCTTACTTTTTCGTTCCTTTTCCGCTGGTCGGACCCCTTCAGCTCCCCGTTTATCTGATCCTTTCCTGGAGACAATTCAACACGTGCAATCTATACCACATCTATCACACCTTGTAAAAAAGATCGAAGTGGACTGTCATCATGTAATCGAATTAACAAGGATTACATTCCACACTCTGAAGCTGGAACACCTCACGCAGTTATGGCTACGCAGAAACGACTTCTCGGGGTTCGACGACAAAATATCCCTCTCTCGAGCCCTTTCATCTTCTATACATACCCTTATTCTCGATCGAGTAGTCTTTAAAGACACTTGCCAGCTGTTGCACTTCTTGTCAAGTCCTTGCTTTTCGAAACTACGCTCCCTCAGTCTGACTGATATCAGCTACATACGGCGATCGCATGCCAACCCAGGCCCTATCCGAGATGCAGGAACTATCATACACTCTTGGGCCGACGCCACTTCTCCCCGACTCCTAGCCGGACCCAAAATCGCGCTGGTAGAGCTCGAAATTGGCTTGATATCAGGTCATAACATCTATGATGTACTCTACCACCCAGACTCTCCATTCGAATGGAATCGCCTTCGAAGAATCACCTTTGTCTCTATATATGACAATTCTTTGATACAAGGATTTTTGAATGGTCCCAAACCAGCATTGATCAGTCTTGAATTTGTGAACATAAAGAAGACGTATCATTTTGGTAGGTGTATTTTAAATATACCATTGCCTCGGATTTAAACTGAAATACCCTATTTTCGCCTCCAAGCAGTGACTTCAGGCGCGTTCATCGGAACTTTTGAAAACACCTCCATTTTAGCTAATATCACTGAGCTCTTGCTGAACTTTGATTTCACCGATGAAGACTGCGATTTCTTGGAATATATCATCAGCGAGTTCAACGACTCATCTCGGCTGAGGAACGTTGGGATCGCTCTCTGCAGGATGGACAGTGATGCTGCCTCGGTAGCTAAAGCTGCCAAAGTCTTCCACAAATTGGCAGGTTTACCAACCATCCAGTGCGTTCGCTTGATTGCACCTCGCAGAGCGAGGTCTGGATGGTCGGTTCATGACACTATGCTTGGAGATTCATTCTACAGATTTCTCATATCTGGTCTAAGTCTGAAAATTGTACTGCTCTATACAGACCCTGAGATTGACCGAGAGCCATTCTCGATTCTATAATTTTTTCTGTTTCTGCTTTTTTTCGACCTAGATCCTTCATTGATGCCAGTTCCCAGAACTTATGCTTCAAAGCTGTGTCAAATTGTAAATTTGCCGCAATGAATCGTCTGTCCCGTCCAGAATTCGGGGGGCAGAGACAACGCAGCGACGTGAGCCCGAGCCACATCACGCCCGCCAGCCAAAATGCCCGAGCTGAACACCAGCGGTAAGTACCAGTTCCCAAAGTGAAGGCCTGTCATAGATTACCGTTGGTACTCAAGTTCACCCAGTTCAGCGGTTGTAAAAAGCAACGCCATACGTACTGATTGTGAAATCAACATCAGAATGGTTTTCCGCTAGCCCTCAGACTTTTTATTTGCAGTAGTCTTCATGACTTACGAAGACTAATTGCACTGCGACCATGAACGAACTCGATGGCTCCTTAAAACGCCCAATTTTGTCGTGTTAATGAGCAATCCCGGAAACTGACCTGCATGCAGTGTCCAGGGATTCTTTGTCAGTATCGTATTGTCGTTCTGCGCTCTCTTCATTATCAGTAATATTTTAGCCGCCCTAAAGCGCTGAAAGTAACGCAAAATACATAATCCCTTGTTGAGTCTATTTTGTTCACGAATCATCACCCCGACCACCAATCAACCCCCTCCGTTCCTCTCCAGAGTGACGCTCAGTCCGATAACGTGACGGGGCGGACGACTTTGCTGTTATGGGTGTCATATCTTCCTCATCTTCGTCGCCGATCTCGAATACAACGCTGTCTTCTCCAACAGGAAGATTATGCTCGTCTCCTCGGAGAGTTACTTCGTCGTCATCATCGCGATCACGGCCACGGCGGTCGAAAGATTCTAGGTCGTAGTCTTCTGCGTCTGCTTCGTCTTGGGCAAGTTCTTCCGACATGGCTAGCGTGGATATCAAGAGGTAAGATAAGAAACCAGATAGAAGGAGATGTACATATCTTCTGTTGTTTTCAGATGGTCTCCAGAGATATGCGATTGCAACAAAGCAAACTAGATAGAGCAACGCTAGCCAGCCGTCAAGGAGCCACCACTGAACTTTCCATGACTTGGCAGCGTAGTCTAACAATAAAAACTATCAGTATTAAGTCACCGAGGGACGGAATAGACGTCTACCTTCTGCCAAACGTCCTGAAAACGAGAACGACGATACCACAAAGAAGATGGCGATAACTAAAACCGTGAAAAGCAAGATTCGGTACAATTTTTCGAACATGGACAGCTTGTATCGCTGTTTTCGGGCTCGAAGTTGTGTGATAGTGGCTAAATGCAAATTGAGAGTAAGGCCCAAGGGTTTGCAGAGGGAATTTAAAGAAGGACTGACCGTTCAGCGAATACATGATCCATAAGAGAAAGCCGCTCAGGGTAAAGGCGAGAGGTATGACAAATAATAATAAAACGAGAGCAGATGTAGATTCCAGTTCGAGTTCGACGATTCCAACAGCATACAAAACTAAGACGGTTAGCAGAATAACCAAATTCGAGCTCGACACAACTCACTTCCGAAAATAAAATGTGCAGCCGCAAGGGCTTGGCATTTGATCATCGTACGACCTAGCGACTCTTTGACGACACTTAACCCAAGAGAGACTACAAGAAGCATGAAGAATGACATCGAGTTCCGTCCAGCATCGAGGATGGCAACTGCAAGCCAAAACAATGGTTGGCAAAGCACACACACACTTTGAACAGGATGAAATACAAACCAACAATAAGGAACACAGTAGCAGTAGTGCCTCTTCCATGAGCATTTAGGTAACGGTAGTATCCTGGTCGTGATCAGGGTTACAGTAGATACTACGTCGGCAATAGAAAGCTCACCCCAATTCGCCACCATTTCAATTACAAGAAGTCCAACAAGGCCAGACAGATAATACTACAAAATTGAAATTGAGTAAAGAGTGATCATGAAGCAAGCGAATGCACCTGAAGTGGGAGAAGATCCTGTGCATTTTTGTAGCATAACCAGCCCCAGTACTAC